CAGGCAGGCAGGCAGGCAGGCAGGCAGGCAGGCAGGCAGGCATGCAGGTAGGCCACTTCGTTCACAAATGGTGAAAGAAAGAAGGGAAGTGAGGTGCATGGGAGAGAATGTGCAAAATAAGAATAAAGTGAGATAGGATATTGTTGATAGAACTGTCCTAAGAAATGTTCCTGGTGTCATCTGATTCTCCAGGATTCCCATAGAAATATACGGAAACAAAAGCTTGGCTATCAGGAGGACTCTTCTAAATATTGATGGAAGTAATGTAAAACTGGAAATTTAGAGCAAGCAAAAGGGAGCAGGAACCAAGAGAGGGGCGAGTCCTATTTAAGCATTTTCTATTGCTTCCTGGCATAATGACGTCTTCTTGCCATAACAGAGCCACAGTCGACATATAAAGATCTGAGAACCACAATATAGAAATCTGAACATTCCCAGAGGGCAAGAGCAGAGGCCAGAAGGGCTGTCAGAGGAGTGATTGAAAAAGCCCCTGGCTAAAGAGGAAAGAGAAGAGCTGCAGCTGATTAACCAGAAGATGGTTAACAAAAAACAAACAAAAACATAAAGTGAAAACATGCAAATCCGCTTACTTGGTTCCATCATAAACAATGGATTTGACTTGACCACATTGTCTGAACAGAGATTGCAGCTGCTTATAATACAGGAAGCCATAGTGAGGAATGTTCTTTAGCTGTAAGGAAAAAGTATGCATCTTCAGAAAAGTAGCATTCTTTACATTATTTTAAAAATAACAATAGTAATTAAATAACATGAATTACTCTTAAATCATTATTCAATGTTTATATATTTTAAGAGATTACCAGGGCAATTTTCATGAAATTATTGAAATCCAGCTCTCCTATCTTGAGCAGTCTAATTTCTATTATTTTCCAATTTCTGCCAAGTGTGACCTTACTTCCTGCTAGAAGAATATAGTCTCCTGGCTGCCATGAAAAGTTCTGGGTTTTTTCCCTCTTTTTTCCCAATCTACTCTTCCAACATTTTGCTCTTTTCCTCATATTCTTTAAATCCTCTATAAGTGGACTTGAAATAAACTGGGAAATGGAGCGGCTATGGTTGCTATATGCCATGAAAAGGTGTGCCATAATAAATACTTCAAAGTGTCACAAAATTCTGTTACATTGGCCACAAAAGATTAATGCAGCTACTATGTGGAAAATTAAGACTCCATTGTGATAGCCACTTAAAACTTAATTTACATACCATCACCGTTGTTTTGGGATCTCTGCCTGACAATTCCCTCACAGCAACCTCTTTATCATGGTGCACAAAGGTAAAATAATTTGGATAGAAAGCTCCAGCAATCACCACCTGAGAAATAAGAGGGAGTCATCATTGTTAAGTGTGTGTCAAGTAAAGAGGCAGGATTCTCTGGTAGTGCAACAGCTCTTTATTGGTAACCCGCTATATCCAAGTGCAAGAGCTATCCTGTAGCTCCCTCTTTTAAAAGGAGCTTCTCTGACAGCTCAGCCATTGAGATCTCTTGAAATTTCCCACCTGTAGTGAGGACCAATCCATTTAAATCTCCAGTCTTTTCCGCCAGACCAGAGGGAAACCTTCGCTCAAGATTTCCTTCCCTATTAGCATATTCAAACAATCATCACCACCATTTTAGCCATTGTCTATCCAATTATTTTTCTTTGTATGCTTCTAAACTGTACAATTAAAATAGGAAAGAAACAATAAAAAATATTCAAAGCCACATTCTGAAATTAACCTGTGCTGAAGTCTCAGCTGATTCATAAATGTTTTGAATATCCTTGAAAACATTTCTAATATAACCAACTCTCTCACCTGCAAAATAAAACGCTGCTTATATGCATGCTCTTGATCCATGATGGGAGAATGAGTGTTGACGTGCATGTTGAATACACCAACTCTTTTTTTCAAGTCCTCATACAACTCAGCCATCTAAAAATTGTAAAACTGTCTTAAAATACATGGGGATCTAAAAGGTAAAGATGCATCACTTTATTTTGTAGAAAATAAATTCTTGTATTTTTCTATATATGTGTCCTTTTCTACATATATGTCCTTTGCTGATAACCCACCTAATATTACCTAAGCAACAGATTGAAGTTATTAAAAATCAGCTGTCCCATATTCTAACGCAGTGATGATGAACCTATGACAGGCGTGTCAGAAGTGACACACCATGAAGTTTTGGGTGACATGCACCAGTGTTTACCAAGACTTAAGATCCTTAATTCTCAGTGTGAGTAAGATTTGAATGTTGGCTGCTGAATGCAACATGTGTTTTGCATGATACAAATAAAGCAAAGCACCTATGGAAATTAACTGGCTGCTGAGCGAACAGTTCAACCCTGAACAGGTATAAGTCATGCCTCCTTGGCTATTTCATTCACTTTAGTTCAATAACACAGTGTATTGACTGAGGACATGAATACGTGTACTTTTCTCTGCATGTCACGTGCCTTGTTAATTAAGATCATGCATGCTTTGCAGTTATATAACTGAATGCTTCAGAAAGGAATATAGGTTTGAATTTTCAGTAATTATGTTTGATCTGAAAAATGGAGTTGACTATACATGGCAAACAACTAGCGTCAATAATTGAATTTGTGCATTTGGCAGAATGTTTACTGAAGATGCAGGACACAAGAGACATTTTAATACTTATAAAAGATAGTAGTCCAGGCGAGAAAGGACGAGGGCGCAAGTGACTGTGCACAGGGCATCCCGATCCAGGAAGGGGCACAACTGGCATACCAGACGAACCTGGTAAAAGCCCCCCCACCCCCTCCCCCGGTCATGGTCATCAGGTGTTCTTCTAAACTAAGCCGCGTATCCAGGAGGACTCCCAGATTGCGGGCCCTC